AAAGAACTCTAGTGCTTTACCTTTTAACATAAATATGTACTATGTGCTATATATGATTTATATCATATACAGTATATTACATTCCACCTTAAATATATTACAATATATGCTACAAATGTAATAGGGCTATTACATTGCCTAATTCAGGAACATTATTTACAAGACTACAGTATGAATGGTGCTCCCTGGAGCTGTGTAATACAACAGTTGATAAAATATATTACATATTAAACATTATACATGTACATATTATACTGAGAACTGAGACCACATATCCCACACAGCTTATGGTCTACATTAACATGATTTTACTATTGCATTGTGTTTTATTGGCATAATGTTACTATTCTGGGAGACTCTTATCCAGACAAATGATTGTTCATTACAGGAACATCACAAAAGGCTCTTAAACACTTCAATAGACAATTTACACCCCGAGACTCTTTGGATCTCTCACCTCAAAATTCTCACTTGCTCTTTCACCAGTCTTAAACTATTACATCATGATCTTGACCCAGTCTCAAGCTTCACGTCGAAATACTCACCTTAAACTAAACTTGGCTTCTGAGATACAACCAAATCTATGCAGTGCTGGTCTCCCTTATTGTGATAATAAACTCAGTTCTGTTTTATCAACAGGTTGTTTTGGTGACATTTGGGAGCTACTGGGCATTCAGTAGTACTGTCTGTTCTATACACATGTACTTCATAGCACACATGCTGTTATTTTCTCTTTTTCCTTCTGTTATCTCATGCTGAATTTCTGTTTTCTTACTCTGGTCCCCTTTTCCCTAAGCCGTGTTTTGTCTCAGGTGTCTCTAATTCCAATCAACACGTCATACCATAATTTGTGATTCCGAAGAATAAAGTAAGTGTTGGCCTTCCTAGATAACAATATAAAGCCAAAAAAAAAAAGTTTGGTTTGAACTGTTTTATTTACTATCATGGGTAAGGTCTATAAATGTCAATACCTGGGCATTTCAAGGAGGTATCTCTGAAAACCTCATATAAAGGAAATACAAAATTCTTTAAAGTGAAATCAGCAACTTTGCTCTCATCTGTAAGGTTACTTTTGATAGAATAGCCTCTGGGTCTGAAAGCCTCAACTGTGATCTAATTGAATATGTTTGCATAGCAAAAGAATGATTAATCAGAAGAGGATTGATTGGCCTTGGAAAGACAGAAGAGAGAAAACCAGGCAGGTTTTGGCAGTCCAGCAAAGGGAACCTTAGCCAAGACCCCTGGCAAGGTTGTTCTCATTGTTCAAACAGATTCAGGGAGGCCTCCAAGTCCAAGCTTTCTTGCTCCTCTGACAAGTCAGTCTCTATTGTGAGACTGATGTGTCTATGTTGGACAGAGGCCCCGCACATCCAGTTCATTGTACTCCCCTTGTTTGAATGTATGTTCTAAGAGCAGCCTTCCATTTATGATTTATCGTTTCTGTCCTGGGGGCTAGGCTAGTTATAAAAGCGCAAATATTCAAGTCTCTACGAGTCTGTTTTTTCTATTAAGCTGAAAACAGCGATTCTGAGTTTTTTAAATTGTAAAATACACATAACATTTACCATTGTAATCATTAAGTTTACAGTTCAGTAGCACGAAGTATTCTCCTTGTGCAACCCTCACTACCATCCATCCATGGAACTCCTCTCATCTTGCAAAACTGAAGCTCTGTACCTTTTAAACAGTGATTCCACATTCTCCCTCCTCCCAGCCACTGGCAACTGCCTTTCTACTGAATTTGACTCCTTTAGTACTTCAATATAGGCGGAATCAGACAGTATTTGTTTTTGTAACTGGCTTATTTCACGTAGCATAATGTCTTCGAGGATCTTCCATATTGTAGCATAACCAAAATTTCTTTCCTTTCTAAGGTTGACTAACGTTGCATTATATGTATGTGTGCTTTGTTTACCCATTCAACTGTTAATGGTCACCTGGGTTGCTTCTGCCTTTGGCTACAGTGCTGCTAGGAACACGGGTGGACAAATATCTCTTCGGAATTCTCTGACTTTTAAACATCAGTCTCAGGACTCAGTTTTTGGGAGTCCACCCATGAGAAATGAATCTGTGGATTTGTGTGCTGATAGAATCAAGTTGTTGAGCCTTCAAGACCCTGAACTAGGGGAAATTCACTAAGGCAAGGGACATCTTTTGGATGATTTTTTTTTTTTGATTATATGAAGAGAACCCTAGAATGTGTAGATCTGATGTTAGGCAGATTGATTTTCTTAGTAATAACTACTGCTTTTGAGAACAGAAGGAAGGTTTTTTGTTGTTGTTTTTTGTTTTCTTCCTGAGAGATACTCAGACATTGCTAATATTCAAGTTTTCTTTTGCAAAGTAAAATTCTTACGTAGTCTGATATTTCTTCCTTCCTCAAACTGAGTTGATTTGTACACTCACAAATGATATTTTCAATAGAACATAATATTATTCAGAAATAATCACTTCAGTTAAACATACATCTTATGCTTTGTTGAGGGACATCACAGGGGGCTTTACAGAATGAAATGAGGGTATTACTTGGGCATATTCACTTTTCCTTATACATCTTTGTTTTATTTAGCCTAGCTAACGATTACTTAGAGTCCTCTAGTCTAAAATTTAGCCATGGAGGGAGGGTATAGCTCAAGTGGTAGAGTATATGCTTAGCATGCATGAGATCCTGGGTTCAGTCCCCAGTACCTCCTCTAAAAATAAACCTAATTACCTCCCCCCCATAATTAAATAATACAATAATAAATAAATAAAATAAAATTTAGCCTTTCTGTAGTAAGTTGGTACTTAAAGGGAGAAATCACGGTTCACTGTTTAATACATCTGTTTAATAAGTTACTAAGTTAATAAGCTATGTAATTAGAACATTCATTAGTACTATAATAGTTTTTATTTAAAGTCACAGAGCAAGACAGGAAGGGATGTACCAGTGACCCGAATGAGTTAATTTGCTTGATCTCCTTCCATTTCTCCTGAAGCTAAGTTTGTTATCAGCCATGTATGCCTTTGGATAAACTGTCCCAGACATGGAAAGCATCAAGTGAATACATGTTGCATGCTGTTCCTGTGAAAGGATTGCAAGACAGAATACAAGTGCAAATTTGGAAAATAAACTTGCTTACCGTTGTATTTTTCTGTTCCTCTGCTCTTCCTGAGCCCGGAGGAAGTCAGCAAGACTTATTAAGAGCAG